TCTTCGAGTTCATTGAAATAACGTATATTGCTCAAATAATTTGAATTAAATGATGTCTTGGCAAGTCCTTTATTCGAAATCATACACAGTCGATGACACTACTTTTATAGACAAAAGACATATTTTGTTATTTATGTTTCGATCAATATGAATAAAACTTTTTTTGGGACTTATAATCTTAAGTTTATAAGGAGATAATTATTTTTTTAGCATTTTATTATTGTAGATTCATCCTACTTTGAGGAGTAATCCATTGACTCCAACTCAACATTTGAACCTCAAGCATTTGATTAAGGTTGAGTAAAATACTTATCATCCCGCTACATTCTTTTATTCTTTAGCTCTAAGGTAGTGTGGAACCACCATAACTTTTGAACATTCAAACTCTCTTCTTGGACATCTCATGGATCTTTTAGCCACTAAAAACTCTATATAGATCAAAGTCATTTATTTTACAAGTTTAAGAATTCTAATCTACATGACACCAATAGTTCGATGATTACATCAAACTCTTGATGAACATACATTTACTTCAATATAATGATCAAAAGCAGAAACATAAACACAAAGTCTAAAACATGTACTCAAAAATAAAAATTAATAAAATAAGCATAAATTAATGAATGTAAAAATCATATCAACATCTGTAATAATAAAATAAACATAAAGGAAAATATCGAGCCCACTGAATGCACATTGTCCCGTTAAAAAATTATTCCATTCCAGTACTCAAGTTTAAAGGAATAGATCCTCTCATGATAGAATGATTCTATTTACCAGCATGTTGATACAAAAACCATGGTGTCAGTGAGCCACTCAACGGGAGCAAAGTACACAAATATTTAATTGTTCAGAAGATGAAGTTCAGGATTTTTGTTGTTTTAAAATGAGAGACAATCCTTCTATTTATAGACAACAAAGGGTAGTATGAATAAATGCTTATTGTACATTATCGGAAAGGTCACAACTCATTGGAAAAGTCACAGTCTTTCACAAAAGTCATAGTTTTTCATGAAATTGCAATTCTTCATAAAAGACACAACTCTTCATTAAAGTTGCAACTCTTCATTAAAGTCGTAACTCTCCGTAAAAGTCACAACTTTTCATGAAGGAAAAGACTAATTTTGAAAATAAATAAGTTAAAAGGGAATTGTGATTTGTGGTGGCGCCACATTGATGGTCTAGGATTCTCTTTTACATAAATATATGACATGGGGTGTGTGTGTGTGCGCGCGCGTTCGTGTGTGCGTGTGCGCGTGCGCGTGCATGTGCGTGTGCGTGTGCGTGCGCGTGCGCGTGCATGTGCGTGTGGGTGTGTGGGTGTGTGTGTGTGTGTGAGTTATAACGTGATTTATATCTAGTTTCTAAACATGTGATGATATATCCTATATATCTTATCTCGTATATATCTTATATTCTTCTTATATTGAAATGGGAGTTGGGAAGCACCAACAAGGATAAATTAGTAATTTTTTAAAATCTGTAATTTTCATTAGCTTACTCCACTCATAACACAACGCACACGTCCTATGTGTTACACATAGATGCTTTATATATTACCTATGGATCGATCCATTTTTCTTTACCGTCTCCTAATTTTAAAAACGTTAAATTTCTCTTAATTTTTTAGTAAATATCTCAAAAGGTCATCTAATTTTAAAAAATTATAATATTTCTTTTATAATATCACTCGATCAAACTTATCATAAAAATTATTCTACAAGATAAAATTATTATTTTTTTAAATATATTTATGAGAAACTTCTTAAAATAGTTAAAAGTCATGAAAAAGTTAAATATAACTGACATGAATTTTGAACTTTTTTAGTAAGTTTATCTCTTTTGGTGTGTTTTGGTGCGTTTCTTCTCTTCCCATTTTATATTATTTGTCTTATACTTAAAAAATAATTTCACTATTTTATTTTTTTGAAAATTCATATCTTATACTTAAGTCACTGATCCGTGATTGTAATTTTAATATAGAGAGTAATTTTTTCAATTATTGCAGAAAAGAAAAATAGCATATAAAAGATTGAGATTTGTTGGAGAGAATTTAATTTATTTTATATGTTAAAATGTTTTTATAGAGAGTAATATTTTTGTAATTATTGCAGAAAAGATGAATAACATATAAAAGATTGAGATTTGTGGGTGAGCAATAATTTATTTTATCATGTTAAATTGTTTTTTATGGTAAATTTAATTAAATAATTTTATAACAAAAATAGTATTCAAAATTGAGTGATTTTAGTGATACAAAATAAAGTTGAATGACTTTATAACATAATTTTCACAAGTGCTTTCCTCTTCCCTCACGGGGTATCTCTATGTTTTCTGGAGAAATTTTTTATTTATTTACGTTTTTCTTAATCTACTTCTCTTTTGAATGGTTGAAAGAAAGTCAATTAAAATGAGAAGAAATTCAAGAAAGAAGGAAAGAGGATGTGCATACCTATGGTGACTTAAGTTTCGTTGGGAAAATTTTATATTGGGTCTCCATTTTGCAAAGCATTGTTTCTTAAAGTTGGGGTAAAAAAGATCAATGAAAATAAATAAGGATATATCATTTCATAGATGAAGTACACACGTTTTCGACTTCTTTTTCAATCTCATTCAAACTTAATTATTTTTATTATGGTACCTAAATCTCTATAAACATTTCTAGAATTGATGGACACATCATCTTACGTTTTAAATGAGATATTATGCCGTAAGAACCGTATAAGTAGATCATACGATGTCGCCTTGCTTAGATGAGATTGAAAGGGACGACGAAAACAGATCATAATTTCATTTGATAGCATTTGATATGTATTTATACTTTTTGAGATAACTATTAACATTTAGACATAATAAATACTACTATTAGATTCGGTCTCTGCCATGGTCCAACTCCCCTTCATTTATGGGGGAAACAATAGCATTTTAATTTGGAGCATTAATCTTCACTTTGATTTATACTTAGCTTCTATTGTAATATAGGTATTGTGTAAACTACTTTTATTTTCTTTTAATATAATATGTTAATAAGATTTGGTGTATCAAATTTAACTAGCAGCATTAACCTCCTACTATTGAATAAAAGTCTAATCATAAGTTTAATGTTGTAGCATCCTAAAGGATGGCAAGTGCATAAGTTTAAATACCTTTTAATGTTAAAAATTACTTGCACTTGGGCAATGAAGTTCGAAGTTTTAGTCCATCACTTAATTGTTTAATATTTACTTAAATTGTTAAAATGAAGTTTGAAGCTGTTACAAATTATTTACTAGGTGTCCACAAATTTCATTGTCAAATACAAAAAGAGATCAATAAAATAACGTTCATGAAAATTGTAGGAGTGCCTCAAACAATGACATCTTAGTTTACTGCATTATAAACCAAACGGATTGAAATATTGCCACATTTTATACTAATTCCAAATCATAGGTTTCTCTTTTCTATTTGAGACTAGGATAAAATATCAAAAATACCCTTAAACTATGTGAAATGAATATCCTTGTTTATAGTCTGGCTCAAAAATATTCTTATCGTCACTACTTTGGTTCAAAAATGCCCTTTAACTATGAGAAAGGAACAAAAATACCCTCCGTTTGTAGTTTTGTCCAAAAATGCCCTTGCCCTCAATATTTTGATCCAAAATGCCCTTATTGTTATTTAATGGATAAAGAAATGCTCATTTCCAAATAAATATACTATTATTTTCTTTTTAACGCATTCTTTTTCTAATAACATATTCTTTAAAATTAGCAAATATTCTTACTTCAATTCAGAAAATAAAAAAAATAAAAATATTTATTATCATTATTTTTTATTGGTAAACAAATATAAATTAATGATGGATATTGGTAAACAAATATACACTTATCCATTGGAAGAGTATATGAAGTGAATCTATTTTGATTGATGTAATGAGATTAAGAAGAAAAAAAGATTTCTGACATTTTTACTTTTTAAAGTGATTTTTGAAAGAAAAAACCAAAAATAGTGTTCTTTATTAATATTTTAATTAGGAACAAGATGTATAAAAAAGAAAGAAAAATATTTATTTGAAAAAAAGCATTTTTTTATTCATTTTATAATTATAGGGGTATTTCTAGACCGAAATATTAAATGTAATGGTATTTTTTAACTAAAATATTGACGATAAAGACATTTTGATCCAATCTTTAAATGGAGAACATTTTGTTCACTTCACATAGTGTTAAGGTACGTAACTTTGAAATTAACCATATGAGGATTATATGTTGCACTAAACATTTGTGTCACAATTGTACCATTTGCTTTGTAGCTGGTTAATATTTATTTTTATCAGTCCACTATTTAAACTTCTTAAAGTCATTTTTTTTGTATTAGAAGGTACTTCAAAGATACATAAGTTTGATATTAATATGAAATTTCACTCACCTTAAAGCACGGGTCTTTCTCATCTACTTCTTACATATAGAATTTGGTAGTAAATAATGTAGAATTGAGCATCTTCCGTATGAATAATTAAAAAAACAAGTCGCTTCTAATCTGCAAAAATTGTTGCTCTGTCTCTTAGTTTGCTTAGATTCTTTTTGGAAGAGACACATTTAGGTCACAGTGTTGCCATATTTTTCATTGCTTAGGAGAATATAACACATCACATGCTTACTATTAAATTTCTAAAAAAATCAGGGTTATTTTGATTGTGATTTAAGTCTTTATTATTGATAAGTTTTTAGAAGACATAACATTTGGTTTAATACTATCACATTATCTTTCACTATAAGGGATGTATTTTAGACTAAGAAGAAAAGATGAATGTCCCATAAATATTCTTGGTGATATTCTAGAAGGATCATAACTGAAGCGTTGGAGGAATGGCCCAACAACAATACTTTATGTCATGCCTCGAGCTACTTCCGAGATGCGGACACGGAACCTAGGACCACAAGTGATGTCAAGCTAACCCTGCTGGCATGATCATGAGCATACTAAAGATAATAAATTGATGCGGAAGCTAAATCATAATTAAATATGAAAAGATGGGGAATACTCATATTCTATAATTGAGATATTTGAAACCATTGAGTTTAATCCAAAGGAAATGTTAACTCAATAGTAAGCTGAATCTAAATATGTCTAAAATAAGCCTCTAAACTAGACTAGAAATACTGGGAAAAGCCCCCAGCTAAATCTAGCAAAAACTGAAACTAAATGACTAAAGAATGAAATGATACTCATGATTGTTGTCCTCGGAGAAATGAGGACTCACCACTGAATCTGCTGAACTAGAGATCAGAAAATCGATCTTGTGTGATCTGGATACTGAGAACCTGAACCTACATCACGAGAAGATGTAGCGCACGTCAGTACTTGAAAGGTACTGAGCATCTAAAATAGAGTAAAGTTGAAATAAAACATAACTGAACAAGCATAATAGCAAGTATAATAATCTGACACGATAAACTGAATTCTGTGCTAATTGGATACAATGATCAATTTATAACATGTTGAAACTGAATACTGAATATACTGATAAATGGTCAATGCAGAGAGTCTGACTGAACAGTGGAAGCTACTAATAACCGATAATAAAACCACATGAGCTAAATGTGGAGTCCGATGTATACGCCTCATCGAGAGGACCCAATATACCCTGTCTAAGGTATAAAGGCATGCTGGCGTGATCACAAAGCTGATTGCCCACAGAGGGGACTTACCACCTACTTGGCTAGTAGTTCTGGGATTATTGGGTACGCTAAATCCTTGTCAAACTCGGTATTATGCTAAACCCAATGAATTCTTTAAATTTACTGATTATGTCTGAGTTTCTGTAAATACTGGATAGCTCAAAACTGAACATGCAAACTGAGAATGCAACAATTAATCTGGTAATTATGCATTTATAACTAAGGCATGATTATCTAAAATGTCTGAACTATCTGACCAAGCATGGGTAAGTCAAGAACTAAAGAAATACAAAACTAGGGTTCTGAAATTCATGCGATAATCTGAGTAATAACATGATAATCTGATTTAGAACATATATATTAATAAATTCATGAAGTTCTAACAAAGTTCTAGAAGTCCTAAGTTAAATCATGATAAGAGAATCAAGACTCTGACTGAAAACTAGGGACCCAATGGTTGAAAGGAACCCACTAGTGAAATCCAAAATACTTTGTGATGAAATCCACAAATAAATACATATGTTTCGGGGCTGGAACTGCTGGAGCTTGTGCGTTCTTGAACTAGGGTTCTTGAGCTTTTTCTCCTCTCTTGCTTCTAATTTTTTAAGTTTTAATTTAATGATTTGACATAGATATGTTTTAATTATGTTTCTAGGCTTAAACTGACTAAAATCTGATGATTTAGGGTAAAATTTATGTATCTTAAGGTTTAAACGAAGTGGGAAAGGTCCAAAAGACCCCTGGGAAATTTGTTGCACCAAACGAAGGCTAGGACTGACGGTTTGATTGGGCCTGTTCGACAGGCCTTTACTAAAATGGGCATCACATTTTACTCGAAGGTCTAATTTTAGCAAGGTCGGTATCTATGGAATATAATCCAATTATCTATCTATGGGTAGTTCATGGGACACCTAATCCATTTTGTTCTAAGAGTTATTACCATTTGAAGTTAACCCAACTACATTTCCCCTTAACTGTCTGCAAATTTTCCACCTACGGACCGTGCTGGTCATTTGTAGCTCTTGTCAGAGAGTGGGTGAAGGGAGTATTGATCGATGGTCACGGTATACGGACCTTAAGTCAGTTCGTCATCTAAGACTTAACCGATTCTTCTGGTCTGAAATTTTTGGGAGTTTCTGATCCCATCGACGGTTGTGCAGCACGGACAGTGGATCAGACTACGGCCCATCGATGCCACTGTTGGTTGCACCTGCAGATTTTTGTATGTAAAGCTGGTTTTTGGTCTATTTTGGCTACGCGGTGTTACATTATCTCCACCTTGGGAACATTTGTCCTCGAATGAAGACTTAACTAGCTGAACAAGAGGGAGAGATTTGCTAACCCTATTACTAAATACTGAGAACTGAGTTTCTGACTGAATTGAGTTCCGATAACTTGCAAATACGCTGAAAATGCAAGTAAAAACTGGGGGAACATGATTCTAAGACTGAATTCACGCATGAATGAATGCAAAACTGAAGAGGAACTATTACCTCAAGCTGGAGTGGAATCGAAAGGAAAGAAGGGAGAATTCTTCGCTTTCATCGGTGCTTCTGCTTCCCAAGTAGCTCTCTCAACGGACTAACTGCTCCACAAAACCTTGACTGAAGCGACTTCTTTATTTCCCAACCTTCTAACCTGACGGTCAAGAATCTCAACTGGTACATCCTCATAGGAAAGACTATCTTTCACCGCCACACTCTATAATGGCACTATAGAGGCTGGGTCACCCACACACTTCTTCAAAAGTGAGATGTGGAAGACCGGATGCACTACTGCTAATTCTGCTGGAAACTCTAGCTCATATGCCACCTTGCCAACCCTTTTCAAGATCTTGTAAGGGCCTACATATCTAGGACTGAGCTTCCCTTTCTTTCCAAATCTTATCACCCCTTTCATACGTAGACCTTTATAAAAACCCAATTATCAATTTGAACTCTAGTTCTCTTCTCCTTACATACGCATAAGATTTCTAACGACTTTGGGCTGTTTTAAGTCTATCTCTAATGAGTTGCACTTTCTCCATAGCATAAAGGACTGAATATGGCCCTATCAAAGCTGTTTCACCTACTTTAAACCAACACACAGTATATCTACATCTACGCCCATATAAAGCCTCATAAGGGGCTAGCTGAATGCTGAAATGGTAGATATTATTATAGCAAACTCAATAAGAGGAAGATGATCATCCCAAATACCTTTGAAATCGATCACACAAGCTCTAAACATATCCTCTAAGGTCTTAATGGTACGCTCTGTCTGCCCATCCGTTTGTGGAAGAAATGTTGTACTAAGATTAACTTGAGTACCAAGACCTTTCTGAAATGACTTCCAAAAATAAGAGGTAAATTGAGGACCTCTATCTGAGATGATAGACAAAGGAGCCCCATGCAATCTCACAATTTCATTAATGTAAACCTTGGAATAATCCTCTGCCGAATCTTTAGTCTTGACCACCAAAAAGCGAGAAGAATTAGTCATCCTATCAACCATCACCCAAATTGAGTCATGTTGTTTGCGAGTACGAGGTAATCCTGTGATAAAGTCCATATTGATCACATCCCGCTTCCAAGTAGGAATATCTATATCTTGAGTCATACCTCCTGGTTTCTGATGTTCTACCTTGACTTGCTGGAAATTAGGAAACTTACTCACAAAATCTGCTATATCCCTCTTCATGCCATTCCACCAATAGACTTCTCGCAGATCGCAGTACATCTTAGTGGCACCTAGATGAATAGAATACCTAGAGTTATGGGCTTCTACAAGAATATGCTATCTTAACTCGCCTACATCAGGAACACACAATCTACCTTGGTAGCGAAGTACACCATCTCCCCCTTGGGAGAAAACCTCCACTCTCTGATTATGGACTGCACCCTTAAGTTCAAGCAAGATTGGGTCACTATCTTGTTTTTCCTTAACCTCCACTACCAAAGGCGTTTCTGCCCCATTCTGAATTGTTACACTGTTGTCTGATATGCTCATAGGGCAAACTCCCAAGCGAGCAAGCCTGTGAACATCTGTCACTAGCTCCTTTCTTTATTCCTCAACATGGGCTACACTACCCATAGATAATCTACTAAGAGCATCGGCTACTACATTCGCCTTACCAGGATGATAATGCACACTCATATCATAATCCTTAAGGAACTCAAGTCATCTCCTCTGGCGAAGATTCAATTCTTTCTGGCTGAACACATACGCTCTTATGATCGGTGAACACATCTTCATGGACACCATACAAGTAGTGTCTCCATATCTTGAGTGCAAACACCACTACTCCAAGCTCGAGGTCATGCGATGGATAGTTTTTCTCATGCGCCTTAAGCTGCCTAGAGGAATAAGCTATCACCTTACCTCGCTGCATCAACACACAACCTAGGCCAACTCTGGATGCATCATAATAGATCACATAACAATCTTAACCCTCTGGTAGTGTCAAGACAGGAGTTGTAGTCAATCTAGTTTTCAATTTTGCAAAGCTTTTCTCACAATTATCTGACCATTAGAACTTGACCATCTTCTGAGTCAACCTATTCAATGGTGAGGCTATGTATGAAAATTCTTCCACAAACCTTCTTTAATAACCTGCTAGACCTAAGAAACTTCTGATATCTGTAGCAGAGGTAGGTCTGGGCCACTGTTTTGCTGCTTCTATCTTCTGTGAATCCACACGGATCCCTTCGCTATATACAATATGACTAAAAAAACCAACGGATTGCAACCAGAACTCACATTTATTAAACTTAGCGAATAACTGGCGATCCTTGAGATTCTGCAGAACAACTCTCAAATGACTTGCATGTTCTTCCTCACTCCTAGAGTAAATGAGGATGTCATCAATAAAGACGATAACGAACAAGTCCAAGTACTGCTTGAACACTCTGTTCATCAAATTCATGAAATCTGTAAGAGCATTGGTTAGTCCAAATGATATAACTACAAATTTGTAATGACCATACGGATTTCTAAATGTTGTTTTCATAATGTAACTATCTCTGACTCTGAGCTGATGATAACCTAATCGAAGGTCTATCTTTGAGAAGTGACTACTACCCTGAAGTTGGTCAAACAAGTCATAAATCCTGGGGATGGAATACTTATTATTGATTATGACCTTGTTCAACTGTCTATACTCAATACACATTATGAGAGAACCATCTTTCTTCCTTACGAATAACACTGGTGCACCCTATGATAAAATACTAGGCATGATGAAGCCCTTATCTAGAAGGTCTTTCAACTGATCTTTCAATTCCTTAAGCTCTGTTGGAGACATTATGTATGGAGGAATAGAAATAGGATGGGTATCTGTAAGGAGATCAATTCCAATGTCGATTTCCTTTTCGGGAGAGACTCTGGGAAGATCTTCTGAAAATACTTCCAAAAATTCAGAGACTACTGGAACTAACTCAAGAGTTGGGGTTTCAAGGCTAGAATCCTTAACCTGAACTAGATGATAGAGATAACCCTTATAGATCATCTTTCAGGCATTAAGGTAAGAAATAAATTGACCCATAGGCGCTAAGCTACTACCCTTCCATTCTAAGATTGGTTCTTCTAGAAATTGAAAATGAACAATCCTAGTTCTATAATCGACTGAGGCATAACATGAATGTAACCAATCCATGCCTAGAATGACATGAAAGTCTACCTTTCTAACTCTACTAGATCTGCTGAGGTGACTTTCTGAGATACTATGACAGGTTAATTTCTATATACTCGTCAAGATATAACTAGGTCACCGACTAGGGTAGAGACTAAGAAAGGTTCTGAGAGATTTTCTAGACTAACGCTGAATTGGACTTCTATACTGAGTTACAAAAGACAAATTCATGTTCTACTGAGTGAACCATGTGTGAGTCACATCCTTGAGTTTTAAGGATGCCAATGTCACCTACCTCTACCAGTTACTGACATCACACAAAATATTTTCTTGACCATCTTAATGAACTTTTGTGGGTACTTACAACCTTGCGGCTGCATCGCGTATTGCCCGAAGGGCAGCGGCAGCAGTGTGGTTTTGCTAGATTTAGATCTTGGGTACTTTGACGCGACCCTAAAAATATAGGTGAATTTATCCAAACAAAATCACAAACTCTGGCTTCCACTAATCGATCATTTCTATTAGTAGAAAGTAGAACCTGCTGATTGTTCTGGTTGGTCATACACTGAGCCAAAAGATGAATTGGCGTTCTGAAACTCTGCATTTAAACTTCCTTATCTGGTACTAGAGGAACTGCGTTAGCATTGCGTGCATTAGCATTCCATGCCTAAGCTCTACAAGAAGGCATGATCTTAAGTGCACAACGTCAAGTTAGAATGGAATTTGATCATACCTTACGCACGATAAGAGTAATAAGAAAGGGAAGTTTTTCCTAAAACATTTCATAGCCTCCCTTTCATTAGATGTGGTGCACTTCACACCCATGAAAAGAACTCTACTAGGGTGTCTTTTTCAGACATACTAGGACTCTTGAACCTAGTGCTCTGATACTAAGTTTTGTCACGCCCTGAGCTACACTCGAGACTCGGACACAAAACATGGGACCACAAGTGATCCCAATCTAATCATGTTGGCATGATCATAAGCATACTAAAGATAATAAACTAATGTGAAAGCTAAATCATAATTAAATCTGAAAATATCGGAATAGTCATATTCTATAACTAAGATACTTGAAAACAATGAGTTTAATACAAAGGAAATATTAACTCAATATTAAGCTGAATCTAACTATGTATAAAATAAGCCTCTCAACTGGACTAGAAATACTGGGATAAGCCTCAGCTAAATCTAGCAAAACATGAAATTAAATGACTAAATACTGAAATGACACTCATGATTGTTGTCCTCAGAGAATGAGGACTCACCACTAAATCTGTTGAACTGAAGATCACAAAATCAATCTATGTGTGACCTAGATGTTGAGAACCTGAACCTACATCACGAGAAGATGTAGCGCATGTATGCGTCAGTACTTGAAAGGTACTGAGCATCTAAAATAGAGTAAAGCTGAAATAAACATAACTAAACAAGCATAATAGCAAGTATAATAATCTGACATAAGAAACTGAATCTGAGCTAACTGAATACAATGATCACTTATAACATAGTTGAAACTAAATACTGAATATACTGATAAATGCTCAATGCAGAGAGTCTTACCGAATTGTGGGAGCTACTAATAAACGATGCTAAAACCATATGAGCTAAATTTGGAGTCCTGCGTATACGCCCCATCGGGAGGACCCAATATACCCTCCCAAAGGCATAAAGACATGCTGGCGTGATCACTAATCTGATTGCCCACAAAGGGGACTTACAACCTACTTGGCTAGTAGTTCTGGGACTATTGGGTATGGTAAACCCTAGTCCAACTCGGTATTATGTTACTCCCAATAAATTTTGTAAATATACTAATTATGTCTGAGTTTCTGTAAATACTGGATAGCTCAAAAATGAACATGGAAACTGAGAATGCAACAATTAATCTTGTAATTATGCATTTATAACTAAGGCATGAATATCTAAAATGTCTGAACTATCTGACCTAGCATGAGTAATTCAAGAACTAAAGAAATACAAAGCTAGGTTTTGAAATTCATGCGATAATCTGATTAATAACATGATAATCTGATTTAGAACATATATTTAATAAATTCATGAATTTCTAACAAAGTTCTAGAAGTCCTAAGTTTAATCATGATAAGAGAATCAAGAATCTTACTGAAAACTAGGGACCTAGTGGTTGAAAGGAACCCACTAGTGAAATCCCACATACTTGGTGATGAAATCCACGAAAAAATACTTATGTTTTGGGGCTGGAGCTTGTGTGTTCTTAAACTAGGATTCTTGAGCTTTTTCTCCTCGCTTGCTTCTAATTTTCTTAGTTTTGATTTAATGATTTGACATAGATATGTTTTAATTATGTTTTTAGGCTTAAACTGACTAAAATCTGATGATTTAGGGTAAAAATGACGTATCAGAAGGTTTAAACGAAGTGGAAAAGGTCCAAAATACCCCTGGAAAAGTTGTCACACTAAACGACGGCCAGGACTGACGATTCATCGTCTGACCAATGCCCCGTCGTAGGGTCCGTCGATTGGGCCTGTTTGACAGGCCTTTACTAAAGTAGGCATCACATTTTACTCGAAGATCTGATTTTAGCAAGGTCGCTGGATATGGAAATATAATTCAATTATTTATCTGTGGGTAGGTCATGGGACACGTAATTCATTTTGCGCTAAGAGTTATGACCATTTAAAGTTGATCCAACTACATTTCCCCTTAACTGTCTGCAAATTTTCCACCTACGAATCATGCTAGTCAGTCCTAGCTCTTGTCAGAGAGTGGGTGAAGGGAGTATTGATCAAAGGTCATGGACTACGGACCTTAGTCTGAACTATGGACCATAAGTCCGTCCGTCGTCCAAGAGTTAACCAATTTTTCTGGTCTGAAATTTTTTGGAGTTTCTGATCCCATCGACGGTTGTGCAGGACGGATCGTGGTTCATGCTACAGTCCGTCTATGCCACCGTTGGTTGCACTTGCAGATTGTTTTCTGTAAAGCTGGTTTTTGGTTTGTTTTGGCTGCGGGATCTTACATTTTATGTATTAGACGTTTCAGACAAAAATTTAACCACTTTAACTATAAAGTTATGCAATTTAAGTACTCATGTTTTTAATTTAAGTATCAAACCAAGGGTGAATAAGATACTTTCTGCATATACCGCTAAAGTAACTTCAATACATTATGTTAGGCCCGTGCTGAAACTTTAATACATTGTATATGCTGAAAAGAAAAAAAGTGGGGTAGAAGTTAAGTTTCTATTGAATTGAGTTTGATGATTTTGAATAGAACATGCCCATGAAAAAGAATATTTTAGAGGAAGATTAAAAAAAAGCGGATTTCCCTATTGATTAACCTATGAAACGGATAAGATCCAAAGAATTCTATACCTGCAGATGAAAGAGGAGCTTCTAGGTGAACATTTCTAATAGTGGTTTCTCCTCCAACAGTCAAGTAACTAGCACTGGTTATTCCAGCAAGAGCTCTTACTCTAACTGAACTAGTACCGTCAACTCCAATTGTAGCAGCAGGAATGTCTTCACCACCAGATATTGCATTAAGAGCTTCTATTATATCAATGGTGGAAATGGAGAGCAGGCTCGGAATATAATAGCTTGAACCGCTTAGGCTCTTTGCACCTAAATAAATAGTAGACAGGGAAAAATATAAGACGCGAAATAATATATATATATATATATATATATATATATATATATATATTATATATATATATATATATATATAAAGAGAATCTAGGTCTGCCTACGTGGTGCCACCACAAAAAAGAATTCTCTTATAATATATCCAAAATTAATCTCTCCCTTTCATGAAAAGTTCCTGACTTTTATGAAAAAGTTGTGACATTTATTGAAAAGTTGTGACTTTTATCAAAAGTTGCGATTTTTATGAAATGTTGTAAGATCTATGAGAGCTTGTGACCTTTCCAAAAAAAGTTGTGACTTCTCAAAAAAGTTGTGAAATTTCCTATAAGAGACACAATAAGTATTTGTTCAAACTACCATATTGTTGTCTATAAATAGAGGAGTTTCCTCTTATTTTAAAATATCGAAAATTCTAAACTTCTTCTTCTTTCTGAACTTCTTCTTCGTATGCACAATTAAATATTTGTGTACTTTTCTCATGTTGAGTGACTCACTAACAAGGAGACATTGTGCATTCAGTGGACATGATTTTTCCTTTTCGTTTCACTCTATTGTAACAGATCTTGGTATGTATTCTTACTATTATTTATTTATGCTTATGATATTAATTTTTATTTTTAGTGCATATTTTTAACTTTATTGTTTATGCTTATGTTTATGTTTCTTTAAAGTTATTGTTATAAGTATTTCTTAGTACATACTACATGTAAATCCACCTAGTGAAGATTCACATTTTTAAAGAATACATTTATTTACAACATTCTCGAAAGAAATATTTTCTTCTCCAATAGATCAAGCCTACTAATTTATATGATTCTTTGTTGTTTTCATAATAATGATCATATATTATTATAAGTGGGAAGCTCAAATATTCAAAGTTGAATTACCATTTTGCCCTTTCACTAAATAAAAATAAAATTAATTAATTTATTAATTACTAATATTTCAATTACATAATGATGAAATATGAAGTTCAACAACTTCACTTTAATAATAAATGACTCTTCCAATTCAGTTATAAGTGGGAAGCTCAAATATTCAAAGTTGAATTACCATTTTGCTCTTTCACTAAATAAAAATAAAATTAATTTATTTATTAAATACTAATATTTTAATTACATAATGATGAAATATGAAGTTCAACAACTTCACTTTAATAATAAATGACTCTTCCAATTCAGTGACTCTTTGAATTTTGAAACTAAAATAAATTTTATGTATTATGATTCTATGTGCTCTAATAGTTTGGTAGGTGAAAAGACAACTAATTATCAGTAAATTGTTTCTGATATCATCATATTCATGTATTTTGCATCATCTACTCGTCTCTTTTCTTTTTCCTAGATAATGATATAGATACATATCGTCAAAAACAAACCAAAGAAAATAACAGATAGCTTCATTATGAAATTAAAGGGAGAAGTTTTCTTACAATATAGTTCAAGTGTTAAGTTTAGAAGTATAAGATATGACATATATCTTTCTTTAGATCTTTTTTATGTTAGCTTATGATTTAAGTTTTTTTTTTATTTTGGAGTTGAAGTATGATTGTCCAAAATAAACTTAGTATGCAACTCATCTTTTATATAATTATGTATCATTTGACATTGTTCTGAAATTTATTTCATGGATTTTTTGGAGTTAAGGTATGGTTTTACAAAATAAATTTGGTATGCAAAAATTATTGTATGTTGTCTTTTCCTTCTATGTTTATTTTTTATATTTTCTCTCTATCATTCTTCTTTAATTAAATTTTCTATGAAAAGATTATATTATCATAACATTTTTTTGAGATTGTTGCATTTTTGTACTAATCATTACACACATGACTTCATAAAATATTAATCATTCTAACAAATTTATTTTAAAAAAGATGGAATAGACGTGCAAGGCACGTCTCCAGAAACTAGTAATATTAATAAGAGTAAAAAAAAATAGAAATCAAATGATAGAACTAAAACTTGGGGCGAGGCCTAGAGTGAAATTTTAATTAGAGACCCAAATTTTTTAAAAATATTATCTGTATTTAATTATTTTTAAAAAAATTTAGATGTAAATTATTACTTAATAAATTTTTTATAAATGATATTCATATACTTTTTTAAAATATTATTTTTAAGCAATACTTTATCAATTCAACATTGAAAACATCATTTTATTGAGAAAATTATTATATGAATCGAAAATATAGTTCTATAAGTAATAAGTTGATAAATTTTAATTAAATATAAGAGTTAGAATATTGAATCTGATGCTAAAAGTTGATCTTTATTATCCTACTTAAATATAAAAATTATGAAGAAATAAAAGAATATGTGTAATTTACTTTGTTCAACACTTTTTAGCTATTGGTTCATATTTTTGACAGGATATTACTTTAACTACCAAAGTTTGAAGAAACAGAGTTCATAAGGAGTTAAAAAAGATTTTAAAAAATATGAGTGTTAGCAAAGAATATATATATATATATATATATATATATATATATATATATATATATATAACAAAGAAAGAATTGATCAAGCTAAATATTTGACGCGCATTATAACAACATTTCTCTATAACAACCTAATTATTCTTAAAACTATTTTTTGATATTAAATCTTTATCTCAATAATATCTTATTATTTTGATCTTAAAAAACAAGCAACTCTATGACAATCTGCATTAATAATTCAAAAGCACTTTTTCTATGTTCTTTCAATTACAATCATTTACTAAAAACCATAATTTAGTAATATTAATTCCATTTTACAATATCGTATATTATATGATATGAACACACGTGCAACTCATGTACTGTGAACAGTGGAGGAGCCACCATATATTTAGGGGGTTCATTAGAACTCCCTTCGACGGAAAATTATATTATTTTTAAATGCTTAAAATAATTTTGTAGGTATATATAGTATATGTCAAACCCACTTCGACTACATCGTGTGTCTATTTTTTCAGATTTTGAATCCCCTTATCGAAAATTTTGGCTCTCCCTCTGACAATGAAACTAGTGTCGTTAAAAGTAAGACTAATGTTTCATTACATTAATTATTGGTTAGTCTCTTACATTCTTCAAAGGTAAATGATTTTCCTATTTAAGGAAATATCATTTGTGAGCTAAACACCCAGATAAAAAGAGTCTTCCTTTCATTTACTCTCTCGTTCACCAATTCATTATTGGTTCAAAGAATCATTCTTCCTATTGTGGATTTCTGGGCAATTGTTGGTGTGCAACTCCAAACTTTCAGCCACGAGTGCACATGTTTGAGAGTAATTGTGGAACCTTGGGGAGAGACCGGCTACAACGATTTGCACCGAAGTCGGGCCAAAATCTCTTTCAAGTCAGTGGCTTACCACGACACAGTGTTTGTGATGAGTTATTTACTACATTGTAATTCTAGTCCAATATCAATATTGTAGTATTTTCCCACCAGAAACGAATGCATTTGTGTCATATATCCTTGATGCAACAAGGTACGTAGACCCATCGATTGCCGTAGTAAAGGGTTGTCTGCAAGGAATTTGGCGTTGTCTATTTATGAGAAGGAGTTGGTAGCCTTGGTCATGGCCATTAGCAAGTGGAGCTGATATTTATTTAGTTCATAGTGAAGACAGATTAGAAGTCTCTCAAGTTCTTGCTTGAACGACAATTGCATACTGGTGTCTGGTTGTCAACTCAAGTGGATTACTAATGTTATGCAATTTGACTTTGGCTTTGATTATAAGAAGGGAAAAGAAAACATTGTTGGTTATGCCTTATCTAGGATCCCTGTTGTGGAGCTTGCAACTTTCATTCTGTCTACTATGAGACCTAATTTTTTTATGGATCGTGGATACTCAATTGACTGATTCGATCCAGCAGTTAGTCACACATCAAGGTGAAGGAAATAAAGTGGGTACTCCTATGTGAACAGCCAGTTGTGATACAGAGGCAAGCTAGCTAGTAGTAGGACCTGATCGAGCTGTGGCTAGGGAACATTCTGGTATGGACCACCCTTTCAGAATGGGTTGTAACACATTTCTATTGGCCTAATCTAAATAAGGATTATATATGTTGCCTACTCATAATTAATGGAACCTCTCCCAAGTCAATCTTTAGCATGGATTTTATAGAAGGAAAGACTGTGATATGGGTGGTGTTTGATAGATTAACCAAATATATATGCCCATTTCATAGCCCTATATATCTCACCCTTACACTTGTACAGAGTTTGTTGTATTGCATGTTTTTAAGTTACATGGGATGCATGGGGAGATGATCCTACCTCTACTAGCAAGGTATGGCAGGATGTGACTCAAAACGCTTCCACTGCTACCATTCTTAGTCTGATGGTCAAACTGAGGTTGTAAGCAGGTGCCTGGAGGCTTATCTCAGATGTTATTGTTTAGACTCTACCTACCATACATGGCTGGATATATAGGAGTTTAAATTGTATCTTATGGTTGTAGTAGCCAATAAGAGAAGACATTGCAGGACCTTCAAGTGTTTTTTCTCAAGGTTCAGCCTCATAGATATATATATATATATATATATATATATATATATATATATCACTATGACTGTTGCACATTTTAACAAACTGTCATCCAAATACTATGGTCCTTATCTCATTTTCCAGAAGATAAGTACAGTGCTTTTAGGCTTTCTTTACCTCCTAAATTGTTACTTCTTCCCACCTTCCATGTGTGAGCTAGTCCCTTTGTCCTCAACCTGTTAATGACCTCGTTTTTGCAGGTGATTTTTTTTTAAAAAAATGAGGCAGCACAAAATGATTGACAATGTCTCTCAGGATTGAAATGACTTTCAATCTTTAAATAGCCAACATAAAAATATAATATAATCTGCATAATTTGAAATTTAAAACCTAAAATATCTTAACAATTCAAACAACCTAACTAAAATTTAAAATTCTGCAGTAACTAAATTAAACTTCAACGGCAAGTTTTCTAGCAGGTAGCATTCACGTGTTGTACCTAGAGCTTGTAGAGGAGTGAGTACCAGATAGCATGGACGAGTTAGTTAGCCCTCATTTAGTTGCGTGTAGTTGATTATTTTTAATCATACACTTGGATTGTTGATTATTTAGGATTACCCATTTCAGTCTGGAGGAGAAATTCAATACAGACATGACATGAAAATCTCTTAAGTTTTATCTTTTTAGCTTACATGATTAATTTTCTTCTTCAATGTGAGCTAAAGTCGCATCATTTTACCTTCTCAACTGTTATTATTAACAAAATTCAATTCAATCTCCATAAATAAAGTTGAAAAATAAACTCTAGTTGAGCTCACACTAAAATCAGATTAGATTGTTTTTATCTCAAATTTTGAATTTGGTTTGGCTTTGCTCTTCAAATCTGCACAGCTCAAATTTTTACTCCAAGACAGTTCTTGTACAAGTCTAGCATCGCTTCAAATTAGTAAAAACAAATAGTTTTATAACCAAAAATTTGCTATTTGGTACACTTCTTACTTGTGAAAACTGAGACAATTGTTTTAAAGCGATAAATCAAATAAAAATAACACCCTATACACATTTAAGGTTATATATATCAAGTTATAAACTTACTTTTTAAAAATAAATTACTTATAGCAGATTATTATCGAGTTATAGCATATCAATTAAAAATATATTTAATTAAAAATAAATTATAAGTAATTATTTAAATACTAATTAATATGTTTAAATATTTATTTTTATTTTTTACAACTAACTTTTTATTTTTATTTTTTTAGATAAAATAAAAAGAAAAAAACGTTTATGTATGAATTGGTAACCAGCACTAATTGTGGAATTTGAATTAATTTTGATTAATAAT